AACTGGCAGTTTGACAAACACTACATTCACAGGTGCCTTCAGCAGCTGCAGCTATCCCACTGGATTTCCTACCAGCTTCAGGAAAAGTCCATGACTGGTGTCCCTGGCCTTTCTCCAGGCAATTACAACTTAAAGAGTTTCCCCAGAGCCTCCAAAACTTTCCTCTCAGATCCAAAACACTGAGTCAGAAAGCAAGGCTTTAGCAGAGGCAGTGTAACAGATATTAACCAGACCTCTCTGTGTGACCCAAAACCAAGATGGCTCATGAATGCTGCTGTAACTACCACTACTCAAGGCTTGGAAAGTGATTTTTTATCTAAACCAGTTCCATCTATAAGAGCTCTAAGATTCTTCCTGGCAAATATCTGTAAGTTTTAAGTTGCCTTTTATAGCACACCATGCCCCATCCCTGGAAGTGTCCAAGGCCAGGCAGGATGAGGCTTGGAGCAACCTGGTCTAGTGGAAGATGTCCCTGCCCATGGCAGGGGGGTTGGAACTGGATGGTCTTTAAGGTCCCTTCCAACCCAAACCATAAAAAACATCATCTGTGTCTTTAAAACCAGCACCCTCTACTTTCTGCAGCAACCTGGCAGCAAGAGTCCTGTAACGTATTCATTGTGCCTGGGAACAGAATGCTGTAGTATCGACCTCTTCAGGCTCTATCACCCAGAAAAAGGAAGACAAATTATTCACCGATGGCAATAGCAGCAGCTGCAGTATCTAGCGTTGTGCTATAGCAGATTACCCACGTTAAGGCTCCGTGACAGCCCCGAGGCTAGCCAGGACTGAAGGCGTGCTGTGCGCACCTACACGCACACACAAATACCACCCGCGGAACTTGGTGCAAGAGAACCTACCCCTCAATTTCCTCCAGGGCACAAAGAGTGCCTGAACCTCGGAGAGCTGCTTCGCTCTTGCAGGGGAATCCAAACCACAGATGCAGGGGTTTACCCGTGCTTAGAAGAGGTCGGTGTGGAAAGATAAGCTGGCAACCTGGCTCTGCCAGGCAGGAAGCTCTACGGGGCACTGCGGTAGGGAATGCCACAGCGCTGAACCCCAGCTCCCCGCCTTTCCCTAGCACTTAAGAGCTGGCAGCCAGGTTGCAGGGAAGCGTCTCAATCCACCTGAGCAGCAGAACCCGTGGATTTCTTCTCCATAGAAGCGTCTACAAAATCCAGTGACAGATTTGAGGGGCTCACGGTTGGCAAAAGGCTAGTTACAGGGGGTGAGGACACGTCTCAGGGGGGGCAAGAGGCCCGGAATCAACGCCCCTCCTAAACCTGAGAAGACTTAAAACAACACCATCCCCTTTTCTGCAGGGTGCTCTCACACTAGGCTGTGTATTACGGTGGACGAGAGTGGAAAGGGTTGACGCAGTCGCCATCTCTTCTGCTGGAACCGGGACATTGTGGAGAAAAGAACGGAAGGTTGATAGGTCAGAACAAGGAGAAGGAGGTGTGCATAAGGACAGGTTCCCCTTCCAGCTGTGGTTCGTATGTACCCAGGGGCACCTCAGATGTAAAATGCCTCAACAAGAGTGAAGATGAAACAAGGCTGAAAAATCCTTCTTTGTAGGCTCTGAAGGGATTGCAGGCAAGAAAATACCAGCCCTGCCTCTACAGGAACTGACAACAGCAAAAATGCTTAATATGTATTATTGTGAGGGTCCAAAGTCTTCAGGATTGCAAAGTCTAGTATTGTCAGGGGCTGTTATGTCTGTGGCTGTTAGCTTTACATTGTTTATTTATCAGTTTTACTTACGATCTTTTAAAAATTCCTGCAGATAATTTCATTTACAGGATAATGATGTCTTTAAAGGAGGATATGCTTTTATTTCAGCCACAAGAAAAATCCTTTCTTTGTTATTTCAGTCCCTCCTAATAGTGCTTTTTCATCTCAAAGCATGGGAAAAATCCCCAATGTATTGTAAAGTTCAAGATTAAGATCACTTCTCACAAAGGCTAATTCAGCTTTAGCTTCCAGGTATCTTTTGAAAATGCCTTTCAGGAAGTAATTTTCACTGTAAATAGACCCAGTTTTAAAGGACACTTGGCTTCTTTCAGTTCACAAAATATTCTTATTTGGTACATAAAGCCTACTCGGCAATGCCTGTTTCAAAATGGAAGACAGTCCATCAAAGGCAGCCTTCTATCTTGTAACCTTTAGAAGAATTTTTACAGGAGGACGTTGTTGACCACTGTCAAAAGGCACAGAGCACAAAAGAAACGCCAAGTTGGCAAGAGAATATCGTATCAGCCCTGCATGACCAGATACAACCGATAAAAGGATTAGACGGTGCTAGGGAAAATTTCATTTCCTGAGCAAAATCATGTTACTACAGTTGAAATAAATGAAATCATTTCAATCAGGCAAATTAGTTCTCTTACCTTCTGCAGCAGTACAAAGGAACAGGCTCATTTGAACGTTTTTCTGCAGCCAAATGAAGGGAACCTACATCCACTGATTCCTTTCTCTCATGAAATACACTTGACCCACAAACCTCACTGTCTTTTCTACCTTTTTTTTTTTGTGTGTGTGTGTGTTTGCTGCATGGCTGGCCACATCCACCTTTGTCATGTCTACCACCGTGATTTCCTTCCTACTATGACTGAACGAAGTCTCTTTTGGATTCAAAGCAATGCAACACACACTGACAAGTGCGTTAGGAAAATTTCTAAGAGAAGGGGACAAAAAGGAGACCTGAGGTAGATGCACCAAGTGCTCACCGTTTTTGCTCAACAACTGTAGGATTGGATTAAATTTGTAAATTATATTCTACTGAGCAGAAAGCCAGACAGACAACGTAAAGGTACATGAGTAAAGATAGCCAGATGGTGTAGTGAACTGAAGGTTTAAGCAAGTATTGTAAAATTGGGTCAAACCCTACTGAGGGAAATTCTTCTGAATGGGAGCTTTGCCTGAATAAAAATGACAGGTCTGGCTCACTCAAGTCAGCAAAAGATCAGCTTACCCACAGAAAATAAGGACCATGTCTTCTAACACAGGGCAGAACACAAGATTTTTACTGCCACGAACTATGTTGGATTGACAATACTGATATTCTGGGAAAAAGCAACATAATATATTTTGTGTAAAATTATTTTCAAGAAGTTCCTCCTGTTTATCAACCAACTCTACTTGAGTTCCATTTTCAGAGCCAGACATAAACAAGAAGTTTCCAGCTGAGTGCATTAATGACTCAGCACATCATTTCTGTCCATACTTCCCTTGCAGACCTACACTTTTAGGATTTATACAGGCCATCTGCTCTAAAAAATGAAGAGTTGGATCAAAATCTTCTCACAGAAAAGTCTCTTTTGACTAACGTTAAAGGAAATGATTTAAATGTTTTTAAAAACCGGTGGCATTGCGTAAATCATCCACAGGCCTCCCAAACACTGACTTTTCAGTGCTTGCAACCAGCCCTGTGGGGTAGGTAAGTGCATGCTATTATATTAACTCGATTCTACAGGCAAGAAAAGAGAAAAACAGTGATGTTATGCGACTTGCTGAGTCATACTGTAGCAAAGCTAATCCTCAGCTAAGGGTAATGGAACAACCTTGGCATTGGCCTGAGGCAGAAGAACAAGCCCTTTATCGTGATATGATGAAATCAAAAAGCACACACTGAACTAGTCAAGTGAACTATATATTAAAAAACAGTGGTAAAACCCTGGTAACAATTCTAAAAGCCGCTGCTGATGCCCTACTAGCTTCCTTTTCAGTTGGTAGTTTTGACTGCCATTACCTCTGAGTGATGAGACTAGGAACTGTTGCACTATTTTTTTTAAACAAACCATATGCAGATTGTTGGGTTTGGGTTTTTTGTTTGTTTTTAATCAATTAATCACATTCTTTATATTGGTTACTAACCACATCCAGTAGGGATTTCCAGTACAGTGGACCGACAAATGTTGTTAACACAGCCTGTAATTGCATTATCTCAAAAATGACCGCAGGACAGAACATGCCTAATTGCAGTGTCCTGATAAACCCAGAGCCAGACTGTGTTAGCACATGAAATAGAAACCGTCCACTTGCAAAATTAATAGAGGCTCTGTGTTAAAATACCAACAAAGATTGTTCAGCAGATGATAAGAAATTATTTTCATGCACTTATTTAACAAAAAGAAAGAAAAAATGCTAAAAGAAAATCCAAGAAGGCAATACACGGACAGACAAAAATGCTGCTGACATGGCAGAGTTCAACTGACAGTCCCCTGGAGATTCTGAACTCGCATCCTTCCCCTCTTACCCACCCGATACAGCTCAGTTTTAACCCACTGCTGTCTCCAATACTGACGGCCTTGATGCAGCAGTCGCCTTCTGTTGAACAAAGCACTGGCACACATGCTTACCGTTGCAACAACTTCGCCGGGATTTAGGCCTCCGCTTAAAATTAAGCCAACACTGAAGTTCTTTGCTGGAGGAGATTTTAGCAGGGGGAAAATGCAGCGAGCATGGGCTACTGAAATGGAACATTCGTTGTGCAGGACAGGACAAAGAGTTGCTTTGCGAGACTTGAGCGCGACTCCTGCGCTCTGCGTACAGAACCCCCAACACACGTAGGCACTGAAGCATCAACTACAGGTCGAAGACCAAAGAATTGATCCAACTCTGAATCTCCTTGCTTTCATGCATTTAAGATTCCAAACAGAAAATAAGGCTGACTCACACGGAATCATAGTTTGAGTGACCGCGTGGGGACTGCAGACACCTTGGCTCCTATTGCATATACACGTAAAAAGGTGAGCATCGTCATCTTTTTCCCTTTAATAGGGATGTACTTAACACAAGCTGTCAGTTACCCCTGTGTGTACGTGTCTACCTCATCCACGCACCGCAGCTGGCTGGCAGACGGGAGTTACTGCTGGGCAATGCCTTATCTTTTCACATGGACCTGCAGAAAGGATCTCCATTTCCCGATTCCCCCATCCTTCAGACTCGTATCTCATCCCTCCGCTGACAGCTGCATGCTGCAATGGCCGGGAGACCCTTACCTTCCTCCAGAGCTCCAGTCTTCTCAGACGCTGGCGATGGAGGCGGGGAAGGAGGCAGGTTGGCTGACTCTTCGACTGCTAGAAATCAGTGAAAATGAGATAGATACAGCCATTAATTCCAGGGAAGGATACAGCCGTTAGTTCCAGGGAGACTGATGCTTCATACAAGCTGCAGTCAGCCTGTTCTGCCCAGCCGAAAGAATTATTCAATGGGGATTTGTGCCTCGTGGATTTTCAGGCAGATCCTTTCAGAATACATGGATTTTTAAAGTTACTGCGGAAGGATTTTTTTTTTTTTTCAGATGGTATGAATTATCTTCAAAAATCTGGTCACGAAGTACAAGACTAAAATCAATTTTGAAATTATCTTTTAAATGAGTATTGCCACTTAGAAAACCTTCAGTCACCCAAGGCAACAACAATAAAGCATCTGAGCATGAGAGATTTTATAAATTCACGCTGACTATCAGAAACTGGCAGCCAATCTCTTCAATTTACCTCGAGTACATGAACAAAAAACATTCTGCTTGCCTTTTTTTTTTTTTCTTCCGCTGAGTTCAAGGTTAATTGCAGAACACATGCAAATACTGCTTCTCTAAATACAAAAGACATATCAGCACAGGGAACTTGTGTCAGCCACGACACATTAGCGACGCAGCCGAACGAGGCGCAGTGAAATCTTAGATGCATGGAGACTAGTTTTTAGATTCATTCCCAGTCACGAGTCTGGATGCTGAAACCAGGGGATGTTTTTTTCAATTATTTCAATTCAAGTACGACGAAATCCTAAACGAACTGCTGCTTAAATGAACTCAACGTAACCTCTGCCACTGATTTCATACCGACCACCTTGAGAATTTTTTCTTTAAAAACAGATCCACTACTGGGGCTTAACCAAGGTTTAATTAAAAAAAAAAAAAAAAAAAGGAAAAAAGAAGTAGTAACAAATCTGTTTTAACAGATCTGTCTTAGAAACGGCACCTCTCAACAGGCAGATCGCAGTTTCTGATTCAGGCCTTCTTCCCAAGCATAGAAAGGCCAGTTGCGAAGCCCCAGCAGAATTTGCCAGGTCTCCTCCTCTTGATTTCAGCGTGGCTTGGAAGAGACCCTTACGTGACTTGTCCTTAAGATGCGCTGTCCAGGGGCAGAGTCTATCTTGATCACAACGTAATTCCACCTGCACTTACCCGACGGTCACTGAGCGCAGGAGCTGTAACACCCCTGAAGACACGCTCTTCACAACATTTCTGAACTGCCATATCTAACTAGATGTAACTGAACGCCCACCTTGCCTCACCCAGGCCCCAGTGAAGTGAACTGTGCTTAAATATGTATCAAGCTTTTGCAGAAATGCGGTCTTACATGTGAAATTGAGCCTCACAGACCTAAGAAGGGAATTACTAAGCAACACATCACCCTGCTGCGGTTCAAAATCAGTTCAATGAAGCAAAACACCTTAGGAAACAAATTTCCAACAAATATTCTTAATTACTCATTGACATTAATTTATCCCTAAGCAGGGTCCACCCGCCGTAGCAAGTGAAGCAGAGTACCAGTGGGAAAAATACCACAAGGCGTTATTTTGATTCGATCACAACGTACGTGCACTCAGCAGAACATATCCTGGGGCAAGCTACAAGACTTGCCCTACCTCAGGACAAAGCACGGCCTTTCTCTGGCCTTCGAGGTACATCTTTTGAGCTACCGTGGAAGGGACGAAGCACTGTTGGTACAAAGGGCTGTATACTTACTTTTATATGTATAGATAGATATTCATGTTTTTATTTCAGAGAGACAATTCACAGCAGGAGGATCGGGGCACAGCATGGACCAGTGGCAGTGGTATCATTCCCAGTCTGGACCACTGGCATTTGGTTCCTCCTGGTGCAACTCTCTCGCCCACAATCTCCCCTTGCCCTGCCTGGCTGCTAACCCTTCTCCCACCCTCACCCCGTGTGCCCTATACCCCTCTGCTTCACAGTCACCAGGTCGCGAAGAAGTGCAGCAACAAGGATAACACCGATATTCCGTGGTTATCCCATGGTCCTGCAGTTTACCCATGACCATAACCTACGTGAATACGCAGCTGCAACTGGGTTTTGTAACACGCATGTGTGTAACGTTTGCAGATGAGCAGATACTTTGAACTGTTTTCGTCTTGGTTTACCTAAAGGTAGTGGTCCCGGCTGATCTTTGTGCTGGGTTTCTTTCTCCTGTTCGCCTTTCAGGACTGCTACAGCTTCAGCTGTTACTACTTGTACTATCCTCGCAGACACTTCTTCTGTGGCAACAGCGAAGTTAGAAAAAAAAAAAAAAAGAGAAATATGTTAGTGAGAACAATGTTTTAAAATGATAAAGTTTAACTTAAACAATAAAAACTAGAGGGTCACAATCCCATTTGAAGAGGTAGCCTTTTTATTTCCTGAAATATAAGCAAAACATTAAAAAATAGAAAAGAAGGACCAGATAATCCAAAGATCTCAACGGAAAATGCCGAGTTATTTAGCAAACCCAGGACCCCGGCCTTCACAGAAAGATGCACAAAGCATCATTACTGAATGCTCACTCTCAGTTCTGCCAGGGACAATGTGCAGCAACTGCAAAATTTTAAGATGATCATTTATTAAATGCCTAGAAAATTCTTTTGCAGGTACTGTTCTGCAAACAGGGGCAGAATGGCCAGCTGAGTAATGGCATTTCTTGACATTTAATATATGGAGTTAGCCGCATTCTTACATGCGCCGTGGATGGTATTTGCTCCTCATCGGCACAGTTAGTATGCACTGAGGGCACTTCCTAGGCAGATATCTAAGGACATGCTGATCAGGGACTTGAAACAAGGACCAAATAACATTTCCGTATGATTAAAATGTATACTTTGTCATCCTCAGCCCTTTTAAGACCGCAACACAAAGCTTTAAACAAACGGGGTTGTTTAGCCTGGAGGAGGCTGAGGGGAGACCTGATGGCTCTCTGCAGATCCCTGAAAGGAGGGTGTAGGGAGGCGGGGGGTGGGGTGTTTTTCCCGGGGGGGGAGGCGGGTGCTGGTCTGTTCTGCCAGGTAACTGGTGATAGGACAAGAGGAAATGGCCTCAAGTTGTGTCAGGGGAAGTTTAGATATTAGGAAAAGCTTCTTCATTGGAACAGGCTGCCCAGGGAAGTGGTGGAGTCACCATCCCTGGAGGTGTTCAAGGAACATGTAGACGTGAGGCTTGAGGACATGGTCTAGTAGGTATGGTAGTGTTGGGTTGATGGTTGGACTGAATAATCTTATAGGGCTTTTCCAACCTATGTGATTCTGTGATTCACCACCTGCATGGCTGGGCACACGCCTGAAAACAGACCAGGAATTTCAATGCTGGCACAGAGACAGAGGTTTCTAAAGGCAGACAGCAATACGCCCTGCTCCAGGCCAGGAGATGCTCTCAGAGCCCCCATTAACACCATCCCGAGGTCAGAAATCAAAGCTCTGCTCACTCACCACTGTGTCCTTCAGGCAAGGGCCAGCTGGGAAGGGGAAGTATATTTAAATCCATGCCCTGCATGTAACTTCACAGCAACTGTCCTAACAAGGGATGTTGTCCATTAGATTAATAATATATGTTGGTATTTCTATTCCCCAATTCACCTCCCTCCTAACTGGTCACCAGGAGGGCACTGACTGCCACAGTTTTGTTGGCTGCAGCCAATGGCTAAAGATGGATGAGCATGGCAGAACACTTACCAAGCAGTGAAAAAAAATATTAACTGATTTAAAAGCCTGTTAGTGCAAGAATATGAGTATAAACTCGCCCAGGGTAAATTCAGACTAAAAATCTGAAGAGACTGCTTTCCTACTGTCAGGGTTCTGAAGTTCTGGCAGCCTTCCACATCACAGGAAACAACCCAACTGGTTTTGAGATGCAGCTCAATACACTCACGAAAGGGACTACGTACGGTACAGATGCCTGTATTAGCAGGAGACTGCGTGCGGCAGCTCTAGTCCCCTGCCCCTCTGTTCAACGACATGCTCCTAGTATCAGATGAAAGTCCACTTCGTGGTCAAGTAGATCAAATCGAGAACCATCACCCCATAAATCAAATCATGCTTGTAGCTACTCCTATGGACCAAAGAACATGGATATTGATTTAAAGCCCATCAACCTTCCCAGCTGCCTTTCAGGAGCCTGCACCTCATCTGGGGGCTTTCCAAATGTCTCCTGCTCCCGCCTCTGCTGGATGCTGGGGGTGTTTCTTGGCACCTCCTGGCCCTTCCTCTTGCGAGAAACATGGAAGATGTGTCCCAGACCATCCCGTGGAGTTGCTGTTGCAGAGCAGTGGAAACTCTAAGAAAAGGCTCCAATTAAGTTTTCAGATCTAGAATATGCAAACATATCCCAGATTTAGTACCCTGGAGCATATCCAAAGGAAAACCACTTGGTCACCTGCTCTCTATCACCCAAGCTACCACAAACATCTTCCCAGCAAGGCAAGGCAAATCCCTATCAAAACCTGTCTCCTTTGTTACAGAATTTATACTTGTTCACATCCAGCCTGGTTTTAAGGTGCAAATGGGCTCTCCAAGGCTGGAAGACAGTTCCTGCCCCTCTCAGCTCTCTTCCTGATTTAATTTGCTTAGGACAAAGATGTTCCACAGGGAGATATGGCTGGGAGTGAAAGGTTGCCTCCTGAAAAATGAAAATTTCCATTTCAGGCTATGCAAAATAAATAAATAAAAATGCAAATCGCCTCTGGGTTTGGGGAGGGGGGTGTTTGCTTGGGTTTTTTCAATCAAGAAAGGCTCATTTCTGAACACTCCGTTGATGGATATTTTGGGTGACACAGGAGGCACAGGCGGTTCGCCAGAAGAGCAGTGCTTTCGCTATACATGACTGCTGCAAAAGGACAGACATTTTTGTACTAATGGACACTATAAATAGCAGATCCAGTGGGTAAGTCAAATCCTCACAGGGCAGCTATTGAGACTCTTCATAGTTTCCTTATGGTTCAGTTAAAGTTCAAGGGAGCTTAATGATAAAGAACATAAAAAAAAGGAGAGTTAGCCAGCCAGGCAAATTTTTCACAGCCTAAAAGCTCCGGATTCATTAGAGAGAGTTTTGCTTGTAGAAGTTTGCCTACCTGCTTACAGAGAGGGAAAACATTCTCTGACTCTACTCTGTCCCACAAAAAAAGGCAGTAACAAATGACAACACCAAATACACGTTTCTTAAAGGCAACAAAGACCTTGGCTTCACAAAAGGCTCAGCACAACGAAGAACGGCAATATGGCTTTCCTTTGCACTTTGCAGAGAGTAAAATGCTGTTTCTTATCACCAAGATGTCTGCTGCTTATGATGCAGGGCACAGTCTGATTCCAGGGAATGTGGTACCCGAAAGTACAGGTGGTCCTTCAATGTGATGTCTGCGACGGAGAGGAGACACTGTGAAAGATACTCTGCACGAGCTTCCAGAAGCCCCTGACACCAAGCAGGCTGAGCTGAGAGGCCGGGAGCTGACAGACAGGGATGGCTCTTCCATCACTCCCTCGCAGGTTGTCGCTTCAGGGATGGGGCTGTCGGGTCAAGCCTGCCCATTTGCTACCAGTGCCAAGGCAGCTATCCATCAGGAGCTGAGAGAGCAAGCATCTTGCTGGGGCACTCTGATAATTTAAACCAAACTTAAAACTCAAACCAGTAACCAGTAATCCTGGTTTTGGAAGCCAGGTCAGTACCTCTATAGCCCCCAGCGTGCCAAAATGGGCTATCTGGAGTCTCCCTGCCCCACAGATCACTCAGGGACACAAACCCTTTCAGAGAACTGGGATGCACAGGAGATGCCCAACCAGCTACTGATGGTATGGGGAGCTGCAGCCTTTCCCCTGTGCTGGGTTCAGGCAGCCTCATGCCTCCAAAAGCTGCTGCCCTCCTCCACAAGTACACCCAAGGGTGCAACAGCTGCCCAATCTCCACCCCACTGTGCTCTGGCACTGATGTTTAAACTGCAGTAGGCACCATCCAGACACCCGAGAGCCTCCCTTCCGGGCCAGGGACTCAGCCAGAGGCTGTGAAGCGAGGCTACATGCCAACGCATGGCAACAGCAGAGCCAAAGATCCGGCATCGGGGCCAGTAGAAGGCCAAGGTGTGGTTTCAGAGCTCTCCTTCATTTCTTATTGATGCTGCTGTAGTTGTCAATGGGCTGCAGATGTCTCCGCTGGCACCTGAATCCATTACCTGCAGTCCTTTCATTTCCCAGGAAACCTTTCTAGTCCATTAAGGTTTTTAACAAACAGGTTTACCAGCCCCGGAGACAGATGTACGGATGGTGGCAAGAGGCTTTAAAAAAGGTGTCTGAGCTTTTGCCAAATATTTCCCGAAAGCTGTTAGAAGTAACTGGCAACTATAAAGGCAAGAGCAAAAATTAGATCTGTGACACATCTCCGCAGTGATGTGTGGTGTCTGTTCCCTTTGTGCCATCCTTAGTGGTTTTTCCTTCAGCCTTGAGCACTTTTTCTTTCCCAACCTGCCATAACCTCAGGCTCAACCCACTGAGGAACCGAGTTTGGCGTCAACCCCACTTCCTAGGTGAAACTGCCCAGGCTCAGACATTTGCCTGACAGCCCCCATCCAACAGTACCTTCATCTTCTCCCTCCCTCTACGCAATGCCGTATTATTACTCTGAGGGGGTGTTTTCAACAGAGGAAACTTCCTAGAGGCAGGGCTCCCGACACCTTCCCGCCTCGCAGGTATGTGCTCCGGATCCCTGCAGCAGAGGAGCCGGGGCTGGTACAGCTCACCCTGGGGAACAGACAGCTTATCAGCTCACGTAACAGCGTCAGGGGTTTCTCAGGCCAGAGCTGCCCTGGTCAGAGCACAGTTTGTCTCCCCAGCTCGTCTCCTTCCCTGGTGTTTCTGACACACAGCCAGTTCGCTCAGCTCACCTGTCTATCGCTTCTTCCCACTTGAGCCCCCATTTCACAGCAACACGCACAGCTCCTCCTAAAAAGAAACAGCATTTCACATCCCCACAACTTCCCCAGGACACTCTTCCTGGGCTGGAGCGGCATCACCCCTAGGTCTTTCCAGCATCAGCTCTATCCGATATCTCCGCGGTGACAGCGGAGCTAGATTTTGCTGTAGCCATGGAAGATGCCATCTGGTCTCAGTAAAGCAGGGCTTGTTAAAGGCATAAACAAAGTTTATCGTGCTGGAACCGCACAGCACAACAAATGCTGCAGGAGAAAACCGAAGGGATGATTGGAAGGAGGGATGGAGAGGAGGAGACTGAAAATTGTGTTGGAGCT